GAGTTTTATGACTACACCCCTCTTTTAGATGGCACACCGACTAAGATGAGTAAATCGCCTTCAGCAAATGTAGCTTTTTCTTCTCCTTCGAACGAGTCACCCAAGCTATTAGAGAAAGGTATAAAAAATTTTATTTATTTATTTATTTATTTTTTATTATTTTTTTTAATACCTTTCATTTTCTTAGACACTGCGCCTCGGACTTCCCCAGCTGCCTCGCATATGCCATTGGCTACCTTTAAGGGTATTCTTATTCATTCCTTGTATCTCATTTTATTTCATCATGTATACATACTCAAGGAACTCTTTTCTCTTTAAATCATGCCACATTGCAAAATCCGTGGTCCGCTTGTGGGAATCACAACTTGTCTTCTCCCCCCACCTAAGTTTCTTCAAGCCGTACACCAAGGTATACTTCATTTACCTATATATATAAATTGTTTTTACCTTCTACGTTTTCATTGAGTATCTCCTTCTATTTTCACAGAAAATACTTCTGACACATTGAAAGAGACAGACGAAATTACTTCTGATACGTTGGAAGAGGCCCAAATTCTTGCAGACTTACTTCAAGCAAATGGGGTTAACAAATTATTTGACAAACTTGAAGCACCCTTTGCTCCATCTAACCTTCTTTTGGGAACTTCCTCCAACGAAGCAGCCGGGTATATTCAGAAAGGTTTTACTATTTCTCTCCAATCAATGACGGATGTTAATGGCATGATTGCTATAGCAAACAACGTTTTCATGATTTTGAAGAGTTTGGGTGTAGACTTCATCTCCTTTTATGAGAAGGTGAAGATATTCCTTGGGTGCTTTGCTTTGAAAACCCAACTTGCAGATTCTTCAAACTTGTCTACTACAGAATTTGAAGCCCAACATTATGAGAAGAAGCTTCATTTCGACAAAATTTCTGGCAAACATGAACAGTTGTCTGCTTCAATTATCAAGTCGGATGAGCACATCGCGGGTCTTAATCAAAGGATTATTCAAACCAAAGAGTTACTCAAACAACTTGAAGAGGAATTGTCATCCACCCAAGCGGAACATGCATCCTTTATGTGTGATTTTTAACAAGTTTCCGAAAGTGTTTCTAAATCAGAAGAAGGCGTGCAAACTGCTTTGAATGTTTTGAGCCAACACAAGAAGAAGAATGGACAACACAGTGCTGTGGAACGTGCTTGTGAAAGGGTTAAGGCTTCTCTTAATGAATTAATGCACTTTTATTTTTTTATTCATCCGAACATAATGTATTTCTGAAATTTCGCTCAATGATAGATTTATTTGTTATATGAAATTTCTCAATACAATACATTGATTTGTCTTATTTTAGCCGTACACAATAGATTTATTTGTTTATATGAAATTTCTCAATACAATACAATACATTGATTTGTCTTATTTTGGCCGTACACAATTTATACTCTTGCGGGCCAGGAGTATCCAATATTTTACCACCTTAGATTTCGGTGGGATATTTTAGCAGTTTAACCACATACAATACCGTTGGTGGTTTTTTGACTTTTGTTTGGCCGTACACAGTTTATACTCTTGCGAGCCAGGAGTATCCAATGTTTTATCACCTTAGATTTCGGTGAGGTATTTTAGCAGTTTAACCACATACAATACCACCGGTGGGTGTTTGACTTTTGTTTGGCCGTACACAGTTTATACTCTTGCGAGCCA